AGTTGCGCACGATAAAGATCCCTTGGGGGTCTAAAATCGATAAGAGTAGGCTTCGGCCCCCACCCGGGCAAAATTCAAAATTTCCTACCAATTGAAAATGTTAGGTGTGTCCCGCGCGCTCATATGAACTTATGCAGTTGCGAGCGCCGTAAAAACACTTTACAAAACAAAACAAAACAAACAAACAAACTCGTAGGCCAGGAATACGCCTGTGTGTGCTCACACAGTCACAGAAACAAGCAAACCCACCCACACATACACACACACACGCACACACACACCCACCCACACATACACACACACCCACACACACACACACACCCACCCACACATACACACACACCCACACCCACCCACCCACACCCCCACCCACACGCACACACACTCACACACACATATACACACACATACATACACATGCACATACACACATGTTCGGGCACGAACATACGTCATACACACACATACCCACACACATACACACACACATACGCACACCCCCACGCACACCCCCATACACGCACACACGTACATACACATGCACATACACACATGTTCAGGCGCGAACATACGTTATACACACACACACGCACGCACACACACACACACACACACACACACACACACACACACACACACACATACACACACATACACACACACACACACAGTCATTCACTCTCACACAATTAATGGATTTGGCAATTAGTGACTAACCTCCCAGAGGAGGCGCATCCGTGTGAATGACGTCCACAAAGTCTCCGTTGGTCTTGGCCAAAATCTCAAGGTTCTTGGACCAGTCATAAGGTGATCCGGCTGGATCCAATCCTGTTAAGAAATTCCAAGGACCCGTTATTTGGGGGTAAAATGGTAAAATGGTCCAAACCAAGCCCCGGTCGAGATTATTTACTGGAAGAGAATCTTCAGTGAATAACAATAGATGTCTATATAAACTCACATGCAGTGCGGATTAACCACAACACCATTCTGCTCACAAACTCGCAACACACTCTACCATTGTACCAACTCTAACAAACCACATCATTGTATTAACTAAAGCCGACAACACCACTGTACGAACTATAAAATCCACTGCAGCATTCTGCTAACAAGCATGTAACCCACTGCACAATTCAGGCAAACAGCAACTAAAATTAAAACACCAGATGCGATTTACATCATGCTTTGTGGTTTGTTTGTTGTTGCTTTTTTTTTCTTCTTTTTTTTTTTTGCTGGTTTTT